CAGACATTAGGCTGTTGTTGTGCTATTAGCTAGCTGCTAGCTAACAACTTTGCTAGCAAAGCAAAATAACTAAAAAGCTTCTTCCCTGTATCGTTAATGATAGCAGTCATTCTTCAGTGTCGCTTATGCAATAGGGGCACATCGCCCGTCCAAAACCGATCATCTCCATAATGGACATATGTCTTCTAATTTCCTTTGCTGCATAATGTACATTGAATTTATTCTGGCGTTAGGCAAATGTGTCTTGAAAGAGAATAGCACTTAAATAACAGTCCAACAAGGATATTCATTTAGAATTAAAAATAACTCACCCTGAATTACCATGATAGATATAATGTGTCATTAATGAAGGGGAAAAAACTCAACCCAGACTTTAAGTTTAGGGTCTGGTTCGCAGAGTATGTAGTTAAATTTTTTCCCCAATTATTCAATGGGAAAAAATAAACTAACCTCAGTTAAGTAAAATAAAATTGTAATCAAAACTTTTGGAATTGTAATGATTTCTTTTTTTAAAAAACAAATTCTTTTGTTTAAAAAAACTTTTTTTTAAATTAAATAACTAATTTTTGTCTCGTGAACTTACAAAGTTATTTGCCAAACAAACTTTTATTTGCACACATCAGAAATCTTTTGTTGTGATTTTAGGCCCTGCCCACGACGTCATGTGAGAATCACGAGCAAAACTTTGAGGCACAAACAAAAACTTAGAATAGCAAGAAAAGAATTCTGACATGTGCAAAAAAGTTTGTTTTGCAAATAATTTTTTCACTACATGAGACAAAAATTTGTGATTCTAATTTTAAAACAATTTTTTTAAGCCAAATTTTTTATTGTTTAAGAAATGGTTAAAATTCAAAATGTCTTGATCACAGTTTTATTTTATTTAAATTAGGTTAGTTTTTTAAAAAAGAATATTTGTGAAACAAATTGAACTCCATAGCAGAGGACTCATTTTCTGTTAAATTTATATTGTTATGTTGTGCTTTTTTTTTTTTTAGATAAAAAAAGGCAAAATCAGTCTGTAGCAATATATTTGCTACAGACTGACAAACATATTGGTTTAAACACAAGGGTAAATCATTGGTAGTGTGGTTTAATAGTATTCTGATCATAACTCATTATGTTTTGCTTTTTTCAGTTCAAAGATGCCACATAAAGAAAGACCTCAAAAAAAAAAAGAAAGGATCTGCCAGAAGCAGCCAAAGGTAGAGGATTGTTGACCAACTGAGTCAGAACGAGTACCGCAGGTAAGAACATAAAGGAAAAAAAAGCTTCTGGTCATGATCAACAGGCAGTTTTTGGTAGTGAACAATATATTTCATATTACAAGGCAGCTGTTATGTTTTTATTATGTTAAGATGTAATAAATCTAGTTGTATTTATCATTGTTTATTAAACTCTGAAAGATGTGTGACTTTAATATTCTGTCCTAAAATGCGGTTAGATGTGCCCCCTTTTTTCTTTTTTGAGCACCTGCCCCTTTAGTGGTCTCTGCCCAGCTCTGCTCCTGTCATTTATTGGTTGTTTCTAGTTTGCACTGGGAGAAAGCAGAAAAGCTCTTTTTTTTCTCACAGATTCTAATAATATACTGCCATGTTTTAGTGAGAGCGTCAACAAATATACCAAAAAAATTATAAAAGTTACCTACTTAACTTGTCTCAGTGCCAAAGTTCAAGGGTCACAAAAATCCCTGAACTTTGCTAATATTGAAGATTAGACTACGGTTGTCAGGGAACAAAAATCAGAGATTAAACATGAAGCACTCAAACAAACTCAACTGATGCTTCTTTGAAAAAACTTCAAACAAATGAAGCTGTCTCAACGGAGGTTGGAATTTGCCCTGAAGTCATTCGTGTTTTTGCAGTTACCCTTAAATGCCATGAGGAAGAAAAGTTGCAGGAATTTCTAAACTTTCACAGCTTAGCATTCTACTGATATAGTTGCAGAGTTACTTTTTGAGAACAACAAGGCTATTTTATATGTTTAGATAAAAAAAGGCAAAATGGGAAATTAAATTATTATTTTTTGCTTGGTGTATCCTAATTTCTGTTACAGATTGAGAAACAACATGGTGCCGCACCTCTGAACATAAACCAATCTTCATCTGTCAAAAAAAACGGCTGATCCAACACTTTTCTAAGAAATATCAATCCACATATCTAATCAAGTTAATCTAGTTAAAAGAAACAGGTTTCATGTAACTATACCAAGAATTGAACTTTGGTCAATTAAAACTTTATTTTGTTGCATCTGAACAATTCTGAATAAATTAGTGCTAAATGAGTGTTCACTGTAGACATCAGTGCAGTTGGTATGTTCTCATAAACAAGGCCAGATAATAAATTTCACACTTTTGTTACATTGCAGCTTATGGGAACAGTTGGACCTCTGGAGCTTGACAAACCAGTTATGAAAAGAGACTCTGTCGCTGCTCCGTCTGATAAGCACGAAGACTGCTTATCAATACTTGATATTCCAACATTTCACTCCATGGATCCCTAACCTTGTTTTCATCACTTTGAGATGTAGTAAAATTGTGCAATTATGTACACAGTAGTGAATGCAGTAGTGAATGGGTTTTTCCTAATCTCTACTACAAATGGTTTTTATGTAAATAAAAATTACTATTTCCAGTTTTTCTATGAATTCTTTCAATAATTAACAGAATGTGCCGGTGTCAAAAAAGGTCACATTTTCAGTTTGCAAAAACAGGTGTTATCTCACAATTATACAAAACACATGTATTGGCATGTGATGGGAATTAATAGAAACTCCTCCCTTGTCTCAGTGGCATCCTCTAAAAACTGTTCTGTATATAAAGCCTCTCTGGGAAGTATCTTCACAAAAACTGTTACAAGCTCTTCCCCGGTTAGCAACTTGAGGTTTAAAAAAATAAAATGGGAAAAGTTCATGAGGGGAACAGCAATACCGAAGACAAGAAAACCGAGTTTAGTTTAGTGCGGGTCAAAAGTACATGGAAGAGCAAACTGGGGAAGAAGATCAATAAGGACGCAGTTGACTCTGTCTCGGCCGCAAAAATGTAAGTATACCTGTTTGTGTGTGTTTCATACACATAACTGAAAGCTAAGATGTTTTTACTGCTTTGTTTTTTTTTTAGTATGTTGTGTTTGTGCAAATATCTGCTTCCTTGGGTCAAGAACTACTTTAGCCTTTGTTAAATAATTATCTTTGTTAAGTTACTTAATTTCAAAAATGCTATTGCATAAGTGAGTTATTGTATGGTGTTCATAAAACTCTGTTAAATAAGTATTCACACATTAGAAATATTTGAGACTTTGCCAAGCACTTTTGCAACATCTGCTGGATATGGAATCTTTCAAAAACCAGTCTGTTTTATGCAAAATAGAGGTGAAATAATTAAAAAAAAAAAAAAGGTAATACAGTAAGGGGCATGATTCATATAAAATTAGAGGAGAAGTTTAGTTTATTTGTATGATTGACAATTGAACTTTGATTGGACAAAACAGGTGATAGGAGTTATTTGCTTGTAACATAATCTGTTGAGGACGTTAAATACATCAAAATTGTAAATAAAATTGTAAACAGGAGGCCACTCACAAACACTGGCTTATGCATCATGAGGAAGATAGTGTTTTATTGGATAGTTCGATTACTATTTATTTAAATCTCTTTATTTTAGAGGTAATTGTTGGTTTCCTCAGAAGGATTTAAAAATACAAAACAAAGATGTATCTGGATAAAATGTCATGTCAAAAAAAGGTATTTCTGGAAACTTCCACGATACCACAGCAGAAAGTATGGATGTTGGTTTTATGGGTATCTTTGGTGGGGAAAAAACATGAATCATATATGATTCAATTAGCAAATGATTGTTGTGTTTTGTATCAAAAAAATATGTTTATTCAAGCAATTCAAGTCATTAAATGACCATTCAAAATAAGTTGAATGTAGTGTTTGAGTTAACTAGATCTTTTCCTGCACAGCAGAACTACTTTTCTGATACATATTCGTCACCAAATTTTTTATTTGAGTTTCCTTTTTGGCAAACTTCTTACATAAGGGACAGTTTTCATACTCTACTCTAGACACTAAATCCTCAGCTCTTGCATGGTGCTATTATGCAGATTGTTTTTGGAATAATCTAGCAACAAATCACATCAATTAGTCAAAACAGAATTTAAGGTGGTATTCTTTCAGGGAAATATAAAAACTAACAAGTTGGGCTGTTGTCTTGGATTTAAAGGTGTGCCAGAAACTAGTTCAACCTGTCACCATGCTCCTGTCTCAGAGAACATGATCAGATAATTTGACAGTGCTGTCTAGGACTCAGTTCGCTGGGTGTGGGTGTGTCCAGGATCATTTCACATAATTATGATGTGAATTTATGAGTTTATATGTTTTAGTGCTGAATAAGTACAGAGCAAATTCAAAAGTGTTAGATTTCCAGTGTTGGTATTGTATGTTAAAAATACAGTGTTAATTCAACACTTGTTTAGCCTAATTCAACAACATGAGTGTTAGTT